ACACTGAATTCCACACAAATTCTTCATGTTCTCCCAACAAAGAATGATTATTTAAACTTAATCGCTTTTCCAAATTTAAATAGGTTGAACATAAAACAATTAAGTTGTCCAAATAAAACGTAATAATTGTGTTGTAGTTTGAACAAGCAGCAATTGCAGTTTTTTGAGTGGATATTGTAATTCTAGTGTAAATATAAAACTACTGTAAATCCTATGTATTTTATATTACAATATTTATTTAAAAAAAAAACTAAATATCACTATGTTTTCTAGTACCATTCTTCTTCCTACCATTTTGTTTTATAACACCTATTAATCTGGTCCCTTATCATAATGTCTATTCACAGCCAAGAATTACTCAGCAAGACCTGTAATTCATTTGGACGGTTACGGCAGCTTGATTGATTTCCTTTCATTTGCTGCACATTTATTCTTGTTCACTTTGTGTGGCCCTGGAGCTGTATTTATTAATCCAGAATAAAGATTTACACATATTGGCTGACAGCTATTTGTGTTGGACAGGGACAACCAGTGGAATGAGAAAAAGCTGACAGGAGGAGCTAACTGGACCCCTCAGGTCGCACTTTCTAGCTGGGGCACACCTGGTGCTCAGATGGTAGGGATTGCCTCTTTCTCAAACATGTATGAAAGGTTTTTGATATTTTATCAAGGTTCTGTTTTTGTTTGTGTTTAGCCTGGATCTGCCCCTGGAGCTCCAGGAGCTGCTGCCCCACCTGGAGCAATGGCACCACCCATGGGGGCACAGCCTAGCTTCGGCATGGTGAGAAATCACTTCCTAAAGTGATAAAAGAGTCTCGGTATTTCACACTTCCAGTATTAGCGCTGATTGATGGATATTTTTACTCAGCCTCCAGCAGCAGCAGGAGCTCCCATAATGCCCCAGCCTGTGATGATGGGCCAGCCCATGATGAGACCGCAATTTACAGGGCCATCAGCAACAGGAACTCCTGGAGCACCAGTAAAGAACATTCATTAAATTGCACTTACAGACATATCTAATCTCATTGAAATGATTCCCTGCAACTAATACAAATTTGCTCTGCCAAATCTCAAATCAAATTACTTCATCTATACCCCTTCTCAAGTAATATTCCACCCACTATACCCAGCCCCAAACCAAATTCCACCCTAACTGCCTTATCTTGAATCAAAATTCCACTTACTCTGCCCAACCCCAAACTGATATTAATTACCCTGCTCCATGTCAAACCAAATGACCAAATCACTCTGCCCAGCAACAAACCAAATTACAACACTCTACCCTTTCCCAAATCAATATTTACTCACACTGCCCAGCTCCAAATCCAAGTTTGCCCATTCTTCTCCATTCTACAACATATCCTGCACACACCGTCCTAAATCGTACACCATTCTGCCCAAACCCAAACCAAATTTTGCCCATTCTGCTTAGCACCAAAATAAACCCAGCCCACTCTGCCTAAATCTAACCAAATTCTTCCTACTCCACCCAATCTCAAATCAAATTTTGCTCATTCTTGCCATCCCCAAACTGAATCCCACATACCCTGCCCAACCCTAAACCAAATTACACTAACTCTACCCCTGACTCTGTTTAAACCAAGCAAACGGAAATGTTTTTGTAACAATGTAAATGCCATTACTTTTACTCTTGATTAAAAGATTTTTTTTACATCACTTCCTCATGCACACTTTACTTTCTCAGTTATCTCCAGGTCCAGCTGCCCAGAGTCCCAAAAAACCTCCCTCCAAGGACCCTCTTGCAGATCTCAATATTAAGGACTTCTTATAATACCTCAGGTATCATTATTTTCCTAGTAACTTCTTAAAATGAGCCACTGAATGACTATGTAAGGCATAGGTCTCTGCACAGTTTTGCTCCAACCCTAATCCAAGCTGATTCAACTAATCAAGGTTTTCAAGATTTCTAATGAACACCTTGGCTGTTTCTCAATTCCAAGAATGCAAAGAATGGACTTGTGTTCTTGTAAAGACCGGTCTTGCCAGGTTACCTCAGAAGAACGAATTCAGGAGACCACGAGAATACAGAGCACATCCTGTGAGAAATGAGATGCTCCATTCTTCCTGATGATCACATGACCTTTACGCATTTTAAACAGAAAATTATTTAAACATCACAGCATTCATACATCGATTTATGTCTGCATGTCTTCGGACTTTTGGGGGAATCCGGAGCACCTGGAGGAAACCCACGCGAACACGGGGAGAACTCCACTCAGAAATGCTCTGAACCAGCGGAGTGAAGTGCTACCCACTGCGCCACTCTATTAAAATGTTCATGCTAATGATTAATAATTAATAATAAATAATAAATCTATTTAAAATGCTGTGCTTCCCACCTCCTTTATTCAGTCGCAATCACTTCTGGGACTGCGAGAGCGAGTTCGGTGCTCAAGTCTGCATCGGTACATCCTCAATTCCAAGAACATATGCAGGACGTTTCATGCGTCCTCCATTCTTGCGGTCTTGAGTTTTGGAACTGAATTTTGAAAGTTGATGTTAATGTTACACAAGGATGTAAGATCACTGAAGAACGCATATTGATAAACAGCCCTTAATTAGTTGCATCAGCTGTGTTTGTATAGGGTTGGAGGAAACTGTGCCTAGCAGAGTTTGAGACCCCTAATGTAAGGTGACATGTTTTCTGTTTTTTTTGTTTGTTTGACAGTATTTGTTTTCTGAAAGACTGAGCTCCAGTGAGAGAGGTCTGCTGTCTGTTTACATCCTAGACGCCCGAGGAGCCTGCAACTGGATATCCACTGGCCCTGCCCCCATCTCAAACAACCCCGCCCACTCTGCCCCACCCAGCATTCCTGTGTCATGTTGTAGCACAAACGTGAAGTAAATCGTAGAGAAAACAAGCCGAAAAATGAAGACGTGTTCATTTCAATGTTCCCCTTTGTTTTGAAGAAACAAGAAAATGATTAAAAAAACACAAATGAAAATGAAGGATTAAAAAAAGATGAATATGTATGTCAAATTTTCCAGTATTTAAGTTTGAAATGAATGGTGTGCGTGCGTGTGTGTGTGTGTGTTCTTCAAGCGCTTTCTGTTGTATGTTAGTTTTGGTGCAATGTATCATTTGCAGAAGGTGATCTGTGTATATTCTCCTCAGTGATGAAAAGATTTCTCCTCTGCTCAAATTTTTATCTGTGGACAACTTATTGATGTGAACCTGGTAATCGGAAAATAAGACATGCTGTTGTCATCATGGATTGACATGTTTGTTTACAGATATATAAAATATTTAATATATATATATGAATTACTTATAAATTGCTCATAAATGATCAACATATCCAGGCTCCTCTTTCCTAGATAACTCTTTTTGTGATCACGTCATTTTTGTTTTTTAACTGGTGTTGTTTTTCCAAAAATGTTTTCCTTGATTTAAACTTTTTTTTTGTTAGATCAATGTTTACATGCTCTCATACGATGTTCCCCAAAAGTTTGTCAGCACTACAAATCTTTAAGGAAGGCCTTTTGCAGTGTCTTAAAATAACAAATATGTACAGCGACTTGTTAAACAGGTAACCTGTTAAAAAAATGAAGAAAAAAGTCCCCAAGATTTCACAGTTGTAGTCAAGTGGAATGCTGTGTTTGAGTCTCATAGTTACTTGTGCTTGTATGAAATCCAAATTGAAGCTGGTACTGTACATGTAGTGTTATTTTGTATAATTGTAAAAGACCCCGTTCACATGTTTGGTTCTCCGTCTTAGCCTCTCATACTACATAATATGAACCCTGAACCTTGTTTGTTACATGTTACGGTTTATTCATGCTCCCTCTGTTGGTGAGTGGTGGTACTGTAGTTTGCACAGCAAAATGGAGTGTGGAGGAGATGTTTGAAAAAAATAAGTCGGTTTCATAGATTATAGGGCGTAGGTTAATTAGCAGTGATAGACTCTTAGATCTTTGTAAAAGTTATCAGGAGGTCACTGTTAAACAGTGTTACAGAAAGGTTTGATTGACGACCCGGCATAGCCAAACCTCTGTAACTCACTTTCCCTGTTGACAAAGGATTTCTCTTTTACAAAGTCCTATTGAAAGAATTTTTATTTTATTTATTGATTCATATTTGACACCCATAAATAGTGCATGTAAGCCCTTTGAGATGCAATAAACACTGATGGGAAGAATTGCCTACTGGTTTCCTCTTGTGTCTTCTTTCATGTCAATAATGAAAAACATTATCTATTTAAGTTGAATATGCAAAATTAAAACTATGATTATATTTGTAATATTGTACATAACTTTCTAATCAAGAATCTTAATGTGATTCTAGAGTCAGATATTAGTTTCAATAGTCATGTCAAAGTAAGTTAATCAGCATATTATCATCTCAAAAACATTGCAAGAATTAGATGGTTTGTTTCCTGTGAGGACTTCATGCTTTTATCAGCAGCAGGGTGGATTACTGTAATGGACTCCTCACTGGCTTTCCCAAAAAGACAGTCAGATAGTTGCACCTCATCCATAACGCGGCTGCTTATTCATAGTTTTTAAAGCTATTTTCAGTTTTAATCTGTTTTTAATATTTGTTATTCTTTGTTTTAATTTTCTTATACTTGTTACAGTCACTTTATTTTGATGGTCTGTTTGTTACATTGCATCTACATGTCAACTAATTCTCATAAGTGACAGGTTGGGGTTAGGGTTAATGTAAGTTGACATGCATCCTGTTAATGTAAAGCACTTTGAATTACCATTGTGTATGAAATGTGCTATATAATAAACTTGTCTTGCCTCGTAATAATTAAAATGTACAATAATTATTTTCACTTTTAAAAGATCTTAATTTGGGCCTATGAAGAAATTAAAAGCATGCTTAAATCTAAATCTGTCAGATATGCACATCTGACCTAAAAAAAGACATAATTTTGTCCTCTTACATCAATACATGTACCTCTTTGTTTATTTGGTCCTTAATAACAAACATTTAGAAAAATTGTACAAAATGAAAAAAGTATGCAAATAAATTTGAGAAAATCAATTTTATATTAAGATTTTCCATTTGTATTACCTATTAAGCTACAAGGCGTTCTCTTTTAGCAATTACAATGACAGTTAACATTGACCTAAATTTAAATAACCCTGTGTAATTCTTTTCAAATAAGAACAACATGAGAATGAAACTCATAATATGAGCCTTACATTAAATACATACTTACAGTTCTACAGTAGGCTGTTACTCCGACAGGTCCTCAAATGTTTTATATCTTAAAATTAAATTAGCACCAAACGTCAACAAGGACATTAAATCAGGAGGTTAAACCTCTAACTGCCTGCATTGTGATACTAAAGGCAGAACCAACTGTATAAGCCCATTAAGACAGCTTATATACTATCAAAGGCACACGATCATAACATTTATAATAATGATAACAAGATAAAACCATTTCAAAGAACACCAGTACTTTGATACTGCTTCTTCAAATCAAAAAGAAAAGAAAACAATCCAAAAATAAAAATGAAAACTTCTCTAAGAAAAAAAGGTGTTTGCTTTTCTTGTGTCAACTGGTCATCAGATTTAGCTCTCTACTACAAGATATCCAGACAAAACAACTGCCTCCCATAGCAAACAACACTGACCGAAGTACATTTTCTAATTCAAAACGACAGATTAGGACAGAATTAGTTCTCGTTTAGGACAGCAGAATCTAGAAATACATTCTCTCTATCTGATTCCTAACAAAAGTTGTCTAATAAAATAAATTAAGGTATCAAAATAGCTTGGAAAAGTTCAATGGTAGGAATGTTTTAGTTCCTAGTGTTGTTGAATGCAGCAGTTTGTGTAGGGCACGGATGGGAGGCACAAGTGTTGGTGGGAGCTGGGACAGAGTCTCTCAGGTGTCCCGACACTGGCTGGAGTCTCCATGGACCCACCGGCAGATCTGTGCGTACTTTAGAGGAGTGATTCGGACAGCCACGTTGTAATCCTGCTGCCCCCCGTTAACATCCACCCACTGGTGACCTGAGAACACCCCAATGATCTTACGCTTCCACTTCTTCTTGCCTGGTTCTTTGAGGCGAATGTAGACACCCGAGCCACTGGAGCCAGGCTTGGCATCACAATACTGGTACAGCAGGTCGTTGGACTCCTCAGACACAGAGCAGAAACGGTACACCAAGTTGCCTGGTCGGTCATCATCAAAACCAGAGAAGTGGATTCTACCAGCAGGCAACTTCTTGACAGAGGGAATGACTCCAAGATCCATGAATTTAGTCTTCTGTGCTCTCTTAAGCTCCAGGACGGCGTAATCATAATCAGCTAAAACATTTTCAGAGATGCCTTTAAACCATCCCTTCGGCACCTGCATCTGTTTCACCCTTGTCCATCGGAATGAGGGCTGTTCTGAGTCAGTACTACGACGGCTCCGATTCCTCCTGCCTTTACCTTTGCTCTTACGCTCTTGCTGCTTCTCTACAATCTCTCCATTTTCATCAACTTCCTCTTCCTCGTGCTTTCTCTGGCCTTTTCCTTTCCGTCCCTTCCCTTTCCGTCCATTCTTACGCCGTGAGCGCTCTTTCAACACACCAACGCTGAGTTTCTGTACCCCATCCAGGTAGTCCGTACCATTGTGAATGCAATGAGCTGCTGTCAGGACATGTTTGGGAGACACCAGCACCCCAGAACATCCCGTGGAGATCTTCACAGAAGTGGAGAAGGGATACTTCATGGAGTACTGCTTGTCGGTGATGGTAAATCGTGTATCTGTGCCGTAGACCTCCCGTCTGTGCCGAGTGTGCAACTGAGAAGCTCCTGTCCAGTCGTTGCTCACATTTAGGTCTTGTACGGTGACAGTCGTGAGTGTGCGTGTCCCGTTGTCATACATGGTCTCATAGGACAGTAGCTGCTCCAGATCATCCAGACTGGGCTCCGGGAGACGCTGCTGGCACTCGATGCCACATATTCCGTGAAGATCATTTTGAGGCTTGGCCAGAAACTCTGAACTTTCTAGGTGCACGGTTTGCTTCTCTTGTACCAGTGGTATTTTTCTCTGTGGCCAGGTGTAGTCACCTGTGGGATCGTCCACTGTGGTGGACCCCAACACAGCCAGTGCTGAGATGGAAAGCAGGAGCGTTAAGGGTACCGGGCCCATTTCAGAGACACCCCTAAACCAGAAAGAAATACAAAAAAGAGAATTAAAATCAATTAAATATATCAGTTTTTGTTGCTTGTATGTTTGATAATCTTTACGAGGTGTAGGAAATATACAGCTGAAGACTCAATTATTAAACCGCCCATAAAATTTGTATTCGTTTTCAAATATTTCCTAAGTGGTGTTCAATAGAGCAAGGGATTTTATTTATTTATTTATTTATTTATTTTATGGAGAAACCCTTAATTTTTGCTGAGATCAATATTAGTACCCCTCAAGAAATAATTTTTGGCTTCAGAACAAACCATTTTGGTCCAATGACTAGCCTAGTTCACCTAATCAGCCTAGTTAAGCCTTCACTTAAAGCTGAAAAATATTCATTCATTTTCCCGCGGCTTAGTCCCTTATTTATCAGAGGTCACAACAGCAGAATGAACCATCAACTATTTAAGCATATCTTTTACACAGAAGATGCCCAGTACTTGTAATCACCAATACACTTACAATCACTCTCTGGCCAAATTTGTTTACCTAATTCCCATATAGTGCATGTCTTTAGACTGTAGGCGAAACCAGAGCACCTGAAACCTGTGGAGAATATGCAAACACGTGGAGAATATGCAAACTCCACACAAAAATGCCAACTGGTCCAACCGGGACTCGAACCAGCAACTTTCTTGCTGTGAGGTGACAGCACTAACCACTGAACCACAGTGCCACCCAGCTGAATATCTTGCAAAACAACTTAAATATATAATATTCAGTATTCAAATATAATGTTTGTTATGTAATATTATGTATTGTCATCATAGCAAAGACAAAATCTGTTCTTTAAACAGCTCTATAAAAATATTTGAAACAGAATTACAATTTCACAGAAGGGCTTTTGTCATCAACTGTACACCAATGGCTATGTATACATTAAGTAAAAAATATAGTATTTTATTAGCATAATACAATGCATGGAAATAGTGATATATTCTATTTCCACCAGGGGTGACCAAAACTGTTCCTCAAGATCTTCCTTCCTGCAGATTTCAGCTGCAACCCATATCACACACACCTGCCTGTAATTATCAAGTGCTGTTCAGGTCCTAATTAATTGGTTCAGGTGCGTTTGATCAGGGTTGAAGCTGAAATCTGCAGGAAGGTAGATCTTGAGGAATAGAGTTGAGCACTCCTGATTTACACTATAGAATTTATTTTTAGTGAAAATAACAAATATTTGCGCTTCAGTATCCAGGCTACATAATAAAACTGTATGAAAAATACCATATTCAGTTTAAATGAGAATATTTATCAAATGGATGCCACCTAAACAATCAATAAAATAATCGCTTCCTACCCTGCCTTTAATAAAAAACATCTTTTATTAAACACCTATTTCAATTTTTATTTACAATATTTAAAACATTTTGTAGATTGTGTCTAAAGTTCACACCACTACATATCTAAATCTTCAAACCACTGATGGTGCAGTGAGGAAGCATTATTGGTTATTTTGACTGTTCAATCCAGGCATTGGTGGGCGGAGTCATATAACAAGTCAAATAGTGCAAATTACCTCTGCTAGACACTCTTGAAATATATAGGTTTAGCTTCATAAACACTGAGCAGAGAAGATGGAACTCGGGTGGAGGAGGAGGCTGCATCCATGTACTATTGGAGAACCAAAGGAAGACTGAGGTAAGTGATGTCTTATCTCTAGCTCTACATTAATACTAACTGGCTGGATAAGATGTTCCAAAATGTTTGCTAAAACGATCATACTTTCACTTTGCTGTCATCTAAAAGTCAAGGTTTATCTCACTTTATGCATATGCTAGGCTATGTACAAAGCGGCTAGCCTACAAACATCAGCTAAAAGGCTGATTAACTCAGTTATGGAGGTCATGTTTTTAAATGGATGTCAGTGTAAGAAAGGCTTTACTATGCTGAATGTATTGCTGCTGGTTTATTAGATAAGTCAATGACAATTTTGTGGCTGTGACAGGTAGGATGGAGTGTGGGCTAATTGTTTTCAACAGGATCTAACTGAAGTAACTGACTGAGGCAGAACTCTGACAGAAACTGAATGTAGTGTTCTTCAAGGCTGTAATGTGATTGGTTATGAAAGGCACATGTGAATGCCTGTCACTCTTTCTCCAATAGTAGAGCCATGGACCCTTCCATCTCCAAAAATTAGACCATTTCTAGATTTCGGACAATGAAACTGGTGTAAATTTCACTGCACATATGCAAATGACTTTTGCACAGGTGATACTTTTGCACAGGTAATGCATTTGTCTTCATTTATTTTTGGGGTTTCTTTGGACTAAATTTCTTACAGAATTCACATTTGATTAGTGTATCTCATTCCTGGTCCTAGTCCTGAACATCTTGAAATATTAGTAAGCCTGTTTTAGTACATCAGCTCTTTAGTAGGAGCTCTTAGACCTGAAATCTGTATCAGATATGGAAGACACCCAAAAATCATATCAGAAGGAAAGGCTTGAAAATAGAGAATTATATTATTATTCTCCTGACCACTAGGGGGAGACAAATAATCAGACTTCGAAGCACCATTTCTCTGTATATATGTGAGTGTATATACAGTACAGTACTCTTCATCGCCCATCACCACATTCCACAGACCTTTATATCCATTCCTAATACGCTTAAGTCAACAATATTTCCACAGAATCCAAAACTTTAGATTATGCTTTTATATAAAACACACATAACATTTTATTTGGAAAATCATTTGTGGATGCCAGATTTGCTGCATTAGCGTTAGAGACTAAACAAATGACTCAAATAGCACACAAAAATGTTCACATTTCGAACTAGTCATCATCTAACAGAAGATATCTGCTATTAGAGTGAAAAAAAAACACTGCCTGTGGAGACTAGAGGTTTGTGGCTGCCTGGGTCTGTAAGGATATTGAGCTTTTGAGTCAGTGGTTTGGAAAAGTTTCATACTGTCTTGCTAAATGTCAGTTATAAGTATATACTAGGCTTCCGAGGACAGTAATGCAATTGGTAGTCTTACCATAAAATTATATGATAATTGAAACACACATGCACCTACACGCATATACTGCAGATACACAAGACTATGAGTAGGGTATGAATACATTTATGTATTATGTTACAGAAAAAGATTTTGGACATGCAGAGGGCATTTATTTTTCCACAATATCAGCAATTTGCACAGTGATGAAAATATACTTCACTCGTTTATGCTTAATATGATGTTCCCATAAATCACATAGATAAATACTAGCTACAAAGCAGTGATTTTATAACAGAAATCAAGGTCCCCAGATGCATTAACGTGGCCTTTTCTGTCATATGGGTGTGCAAGAAAAATGACATTAGATTATGCATGGTTCTTGGCATAAATATGAATAATGTATGTTTCTATCTATTTTTAATGTTTGTATACATTTCCATCACATTTCCAGGTCTATAAATTACAATTTTTATCAATGTTTAAATATCTGTTTGCAGAATGGCATATGTAAGGGGTCTTTCAAGGTCCTGATGTGTTGTGTTTATTATTATTTTTTAATTGGAGCTGACTTTACATTATGTCGTATTTTAATGCATAACCAAATAAACAGGTGGAATATTATATTTACATATTGAATAGTTCATGGAATATGAATTACTTCAACAATCGGCAAAGCAACAAGGTAAACGCTAACAATAATATAGTGACTCCTGGGCAGTAACTGATTACATGTAATCTGTATCTAATCAGATTCCACAAATGTAATCATTATAATTGGGATATATATATATATATATATATATATATATATATATATATATATATATGCTAATCAGAGTACAGTTACTTTTTATCAATTACATTTTTACACATTATTCTTTTTTACAAATTTTTATGCATTTACTCTTAATTATTACATTTTCAACAACTCAAACACTTTTTTAAAAGCATTTTATGTTGCTGTTTATGTGGAAACAAAATAATATATTTTATTTATCTTTTTGAAGGTAAGGGGCGACGCGGTGGCACAGTGAGTAGTACGTTCGCGTCACAGCAAGAAGTTTGCTGGTTCAAGCCTCGGCTGTGTCAGTTGGCATTTCTGTGTGGAGTTTGCATGTTCTCCCCATATTTGTGTGGGTTTGCTCTGGGTGCTCCGGTTTCCCCCACTAGTCCAAAGACATCTGGTATTGGTGAATTGGGTAAGCTTAATTGTCTGTAGTGAATGAGTGTGTGTGGATGTTTCCCAGTAATTGGTTGCAGCGGTAAGGGCATCCGCTGTGTACAACATATGCTGGATAAGTTGGCGGTTCATTCCGCTGTGGTGACCCCAGATTAATTAAAGGACTAAGCCGAAAAGAAAATGAACAAATGAATAAATTTTTGAAGGTAACAATAATCAAACCAGTTAGGGCATAAATAATCTAAAAGTAATTCAAAAGTACCAAGTAATCTACCAAGCACTAATTATAGTAGGCTACAATTAAAATGACAACCAATATTTTAGCAGTATTGAAAGACATAACTTTCCCAGCGATGGGTTGCAGCTGGAAGGGCATCCACTGTGTAAAACATATGCTGAATAAGTTGGCGGTTCATTCCACTGTGGTGACCACAGATTAATAAAGGGACTAAGCAAAAAAAGGAAACGAATAAAAGACATAACATAATGCAAGATGCATTGATTTTCAGAGATTGTGATACCAGATATGTGTGTGTGTGTGATATAATAGAGACATGAAATTAGACATTCCTATTGATGACAACAACAGCATTATGCAATGGAAAACCACTAAATGTTGTAATTTATAACTCAAAACAAAGTGTAAGTAAAAGACCGCTAACTGAAGAAAAAACAACAAAAACATATTAACAATGTTTCAAATTGGACTAGCATTAATAGCTAAAGTGCAGGTCTGAGTGCAGCATGATGGAAGATTATCCACACACACATGAGCACACATAGATAAGCAAAAGCACTTCACAGCGACTACTCTCACACATTCATCATATGTTAGAATGCTGAGCACTGCCCAAGAAAACACAGACTGCAGCAACATTTTTTAATCAGCAGTCAGCTCTGGGCTGGACTGGAATCTATAATGCTACTGCATACTTGATTCAATACATTTTCCCTTGGGGAGCTTAAATCCCTCTACTCCCACCTCACACTTCACTATGACATGCCGTCGGTGCAGATTATCCACATCAGCCGCTCTGTCTGTGAGAATCAGTCTGCACAGACAATACTGTGTGGCCTCAGTGAAAGTGTGAGGGGGGAAATGTGCGAGTGAGGAAGCTTTGGATTCAGGCAATGACAAATCTGATGCATCCCTACTGGAGGGGGACAGGAGAAGCAAAAACTTACAGACATCCAAACAAACTATGACTATGAGGAGAAATGCACAGACAGCTCAAACCTTAAAAAGTCAACAAAACAGATAAATGGAGTCTGACACCCGGTCTGATCTCTCAATCAACAGTTATCTTGCTAAAATGAGCAACTGTCTGCAACCTGACATTTCTCCATCACTTGCTGGGACATTTCCAGTGACATTTCCGATGCCTTTTATGTAATGAATCTATCTGATTTGGACACCCAACAACAAAAAAGCAAAACAAAAACAATGTAGAACAAGTTTAGACTAGTGAGAAGTTATATTTGTATACAAAAAACTAGTAAAAATATTTTTTACAATCTCCCTCCGTATGTAAGCATCACACAAATGTTCTGAGAAATCTCAGAACCTTTCAACCAACTTGATCAACCAAATGGTGGCGCTACTGACACCATTTCAAATTAAATTCATTAATTCATTCATTCATTTTCCATCGGCTTAGTCCCTTTATTCATCAAGGGTTGCCACAGTGGAATGAACCGCTAACTTCTCCAGCCTATGTTTTAAACAGCGGATGCCCGAAATATCCATACACACTCATTCACACACATGCAGACAATTTAGTGTACTCAATTCACCTGTACCGCATGTATTTGGACTGTAGGGGAAACTGGAGCACCTGGAGGAAACCCACGCAAACACGGGGAGAATTTGCAAACTCCACACAAAAATGCCAACTGACCTAGCCAGGACTCGAACCAGCGACCTTCTTGCTGTGAGGCGACAGTGGGCCACCGTGCCATCCTTCAAATTAAATTAAACATGCTAATTCATTCAAAGTTGTCGGTTTAAAGTTTGACTTGGTAATTTCATAATTTAATGAGTATGTAAATCACATTATCTAAAGTACTGGTTTCCAAAAAGACACTCATTATTTTCAATGGATAGTTAGATGTTTAGGTAATCTTCATAAAGTAAACATACACCAGTTTCATTACTAATGAATATAGTCGTATATTAACAATATGCATAGTTAACTGGTTCAGTTGTATAGTTGTAAATGGACTTTTTAAAATGTCTAATGTATTCACTGAACTTGCTAAACAAGTAAACAACCTTTTTTTATTGTAGCTCATCATTTAGAAGTTTTCAATTCATAAATACAGGCCACCTGAAATGCTTAAAATGATCTTGACTGATATTACACATTATTTTAAAAGATAAGTCTTTTTATTATTCAGACCAGAAAGTTGTGCAAATATAAATGACAAAAATAACTACAAGTAATAAAAGTGCTCTTCTCTAAAGGTGAAAGGCATCATACCTGCTATCATTCGATTGATTGGAGATGTTTCAATCCGCAAACAGATGCTTGTTAATTTAGCAGGAACCGTCTAAAAAAGTTATTTCATCTCAGAGGCTTCGTGGTGTATAGTCCGTTTCTTCTCATATCTGCTCCACCTTCTAGACAAGGAGAGCTCAGAGACGAAGTCCTTGGTAGGAATTACACTTGACGTTTAAGGGAAAGGGAGGAAAAAAGTCCCAACAAGATTTTCACAAAGAGTTTAAAATAGGGGAGGGACCATCATGCTCTCGGCGTTGGAGCAGAGAAAGTGAGGCTCGTACAGCACTTGATCTTTTGAGTCAAGGGATCTGAATAAATCTTTATTTGACAATTCAAAGGGTCGTTTATGTCTGTGATTCAATGGGGCTTTCCACTGATTCGTTCCACTGTGCGCACAATAGCCCAGCAGCGGCGCTTCATTGTGGTTCGGTTCCGTTCCCACATCACCGACACTTGTGTCCGTGTACATGATGTGGTAAATACGCGGGCAGGGGGGCTCGGAGTTAAAAGGACGCCTCCAAATTTGCGTGGACGTCAATATGCAGATTTTATGAGCGACAATGTCGTCACGCTCTTCATTTTGTTTCTAGATAATCAATATTGCTTAAACAAACGTAAAACCGATAAACCAGAGAACTATATTAACTTTTTTATATAGGCCTAATTCTCTCTATTCCAGACACAAAGGTCCAATAGTACAAAAGACAAACAAACTAAAACAATACAAACCACACTATATAGCTACCTTAGTTAAAGGCAGTTCTGCCAATATTTCATTAAAGGTGACCGAAAACGTACCACAGTAAGCCTATCAATTACTTTAAAATCTATTCTGAGAATTTTCCAACCGACAGATACACTTCTATATCAAATTTCCCGTTTTTATTTTGTATGAGAAATATTTTATTCACAAACAGAAATTCTTGAATTCACAGCCGCCTTTTTAAACATTTTTAAAAAGTAAAATTGGTGTATTTAATAAATTTCATCTTGGTTAAAAACAATGAAAGGAATAGATTCTTGGATTATTATGCTAATTATTTTGGAAATATCACGGACACAAGTCATTCTTTCCTCTTTCCTCTGTATTTGTGTTATTTATACATGTTTATTTATTTTTTTCCTATTTTTTTATTTTTAAACCTTTATATATGTTTATAATATTATTTATATTATTTATCTGATCTGTTATTATCATTGCTACCATCACTGTCTTATTTGTAAAGGTTAAAATTTTGTGCTTTTATTGAATGCATTACTATTAATTTATACTTTTTACTTACATAAAATAATGATATTGTGACAGAGAGTAGATAATAATAATAATAATAATAATAATAATAATAATAATAATAATAATAATATGTAATTTTTTTAAATAGATTTTTGTCACAATCTCCAGTGATAAATATGGAAGGCTTATAAAAAAAAAGTATATTATAACTATACAACTATAAATTAGGCTGTTTAAAATTCATTTAATCTCACAATTGTTTTTTCATGCACACAGATTAAAAATTAGTTTAATAATGGCTCAATGCATTTTATGCATATCTGGAAACATTATACTGTTGGGTCTCAATGAAAGTCTTGATTAATGCAAAGTTTGAAATGACTAAACAGCAGATTCATTTCTGTTTGCACCATGAGAAAAGAATGACTTTATTAAAGCTCTAAAAAAAAAAAGGTTAGTAAAGTTTAACAAATATAAATATTATGGTACAAATTGACTTTAAGGTGTCTATAAATTCTTTCTTTTTCAGTTTCTTGTGTGTGGTTATAGAATGAGTAAAAATAGTGACTATTGTAAAAGAAATAGGGAAAAAAGTGAAAATGCAGTTCAAGTTATAGTAAATATTGCACTAAATTACAGATATTATAGAAAAATAAAGAAAAATATGTTGTTTTTTTTGTCTTAGTATTTCTGTTTGAAAGTTTTATGTTATTTTGCCTCCTGCGTTTTTCATTTATGTAGTACAGAAGTTTGATTTTTGATTGATGTTTAGAGGCCAGTGAGTTTTTTTAAATGATTATTATTATTATTATTATTATTATTAATGTAACAGACTTTTTTATGCAAACACGTCTTTATTTTGCCCAAATAGGTAAGTCTTATGAAATTCTAATTATTTTTTAAAATCTTTTTTTCTTAATTACTGATGAAGTTATATACTTAATGCTGATATTCACACAAGGAAGGTTAAGTGCTGTACACTTCATGTTTACTTCACCACTTTCCAGTTTAGAGTCATTTAAATGTTTGAAGTGAATAAATACCCATAAATGACCTTATATGAACATGCTGTTGAAAACGTTACATAGATCCCACTCTTTTGTGATATGAAAACTTAAAAGATTTGTTTATTCACCCTTCACTTGAGTCTCTTTAGAAAGTAATTTTCTCCTTGCTTCATTCACTGAGATTAATCACAAGATGCTAATTCTTCCTCTTAATGAGACACAGGCAATTTGAGTTGTTAAATTATTTAATATTGAAGAGGCCTTTTTGTTATGTGTAGAAACAAAACAACACAAATTCTTAGATTTAGATTTATATATATATTGCCCCTTTTCTTATATTTGGTGGATCTTGTTTTCCAATTCTCTGTCTACCATGTCATGAAATGCCTTTAAGTCTTGTTCACTTTTCACAGGCACTCAGGGAAAGTGTTAGTTCTTCAGGTTCCTCAGTGTGCACTCACATCAGCATCCTTCACTGTGATGTTCTCTGTCAAGTTTGAACAGAGAAAGGTGATCTCACTGCTTCAGACTGTGGTCTCCACCCTCCAGTGTTGGGAAAATGCCGCAACAAATATCATCATGAGCTCTCTCTGTCAATTCAAGGTCTAATTTCTATGTTACCAAAACATTGTGACCAATTATATATCACATTTTCTGAAAAGAAAAAACACATAACTTACCTTTTGCGTATAAGTCACATTTTACTGTTTCATTCATGCAGATATGATGGAGAATTGGCCACCACTAATTCTGAATAATTCTACATTCATGCCTAGTCTCAATTTTTGAGTGACCCTAGAATTGCAGGTAGATTTTGAATCGTCAAGATACATTTTTATTGTTATCGCAACCCAGTACTGAGAAACAACCATACACACTCGTACACATACAAACACATACACTACGGCCAATTCAGTCAGTTCAGTTTACCTATAGCACATGTCTTTGGGCTGTGGGGGAAACCGGAGCACCCGAAGGAAACACATGCGAGGAGAACATGCAAACTCCACACAGAAATTCCAACTGACCCAGCTGAGACTCGAACCAGCGACATTCTTGTTGTGAGGTGACAGTGCTAACCACTGACCCACCATGCCGCCGACTAATACAAATTGTACAATATATATCCGATATATAAAACGATACGATATATATACGATATATAAAACTATGTTTGCATGTGTATTTAGGGACATTTGGTTTTGCCTGTCTCTCTGCCTCCTGAATCATATATTCAGCTTCTGTAATCATGAAATAATGAAGTCTAATTTCATATTTTTAGTGTCTTCACTTTACTAAATTAAAGACATTTGCACAAAATGTCTATTTTCTGTACTGTTTGTAATTTCAGTAATATTTAGTACATTTTGTTAGAGATGCTCCAATCAGGATTTTTGCAGCCGATACAAAGTACCAATTCCTTGTCATGGTGATCGACTGAGTACCGATTCTAAAGCTTCAAGCTTTATAATGCATTAAAGCACATTTTCCCTCTAGGTATGATACTTAGGTGGAGATCTCACCTTACCTAAGTGAATAAATTAAGCATGTTGCATATAATCCTTTAAACACATTTCTTTTTACCATTTAGGTGTAAGCATGTAATAATATAACACGCATGTAAAAATTGTAAAGAAAAATCACAAACAATTGCTCCGCTCGTGTCACAGCAGCTCAAAACACAGTAAATAAAATGGTTGCACTTGGAACAAAGAGACCATCACTTGCAAGTTTAACCAACAGACTGTATAAACAAATGTCACACGGCATCTGTATATATTTTAGCTGTTGTGATGCGAGCGAATCATGCTTCCACACATCATTTACCTCCTTGCGTATTGAAGCTACTGTTGGCTATGTATAATATATGGGAACGCACTTGCATCTTCCTGTGCTTGTAAACTCCTAAACAATTAACTGTAATCGGTTCATGACATCCGCCGGATTGGCAAGTACCGATCAAGTCATTAAATGTGATTATCAGCCAATACCGATCTTCAGCCGATTGATCAGAGCATTCTACATTTTGTGTCTGTCCCTAAGTTCTGTTCAACTCTGTTATATTGGTTATAAAAAGGCATGACAATCTTTACAAAATAAGAGAAGTTACCTTTAAACTGATTCATAGATGCTATCCAGACAAGTGTAATCTTAAAAGGCTTAGTAATGATATTAACACCAACTGTTCTTTTTGCTTAGTGAATCCGAAAACTTGGAATTTCATTTTGGGGTGATATTCTTGATTTTATAAAAGATTATGTTGGTGCGGCATGGTGGTGAATTTGGTAGCCCTGTCGTCTCACAGCAAGAAGGTCGCTGGTTCAAGCCTTGGCTGGGTCAGTTAGCATTTCTGTGTGGAGTTTGCATGTTCTCCCCGTGTTCACGTGGGTTTCCTTCGGGTTCTCCGGATGTGATATATAGGTGAATTGAATAAGCTAAATTGTCCGTACTGTATGTGTGTGAATGTGAGTGTATAGGTGTTACCCAGTGCTGGGTTGCAGCTGGAAGAGCATCCGCTGCGTAAAACATGCTGGATAAGTTGGCGGTTCATCCTGCTGTGGCGACCCCAGATTAATAAAGGGACTAAGCCGAAAAAAAAATGAATGAATGAAGAAGAATGTTATCTTTCGTTTTTTATTAATGTAAAAAGGAAAGTATTTTTTTGTTGGCCAATTTCATATTAGCTAAAGCAAGTTTTGAAGTGTAAACCTTTTTGTTCTAAATTTAAAATTGAATTGAAAATGTATTTTGAGTTTATTGAGGGATCAACAAATTTAAAAGCAATATGAACAAGGACTTTAATGAACAACTTGCCACGTGTCTTGGACAAATGACTGACTT